CTTGACAATTCGAGATATTGTTTTTCTTCGTGATTGATACATCTTTCTGGTTACAATTTCTAGTGCTTCATAGCTCGCTATTATTTAAAAATTACATAAATTAAATCGTTTAAAAAAAAAACTATATTTAGTCGATCTAAATAATTTACATGTCAAAAGCGGAGTTTCTAACTTTTTAAAATTAACAACTACGGCTTTTACCTACAACAAATATACACATATATTAAAATTTTAATTTTTCAAAATAAAAATAATTAAATTTAAAAAAAAAATAACCTTGGGTTTAGGTACAAAACTTTCTGGTCTTACGACATAAACTTCTTTTGTAGAGCACAAAGACTGCGACATTACCGACAGTCTTCCTCTATATTTATTAGAAGCTCCTGCTGCAATTCTCTATATAAAAATTATTATCAAGAATGTTAATTCTAAAAAAAATCATAATTTAATTTATTGACTATTGTGTAGTCCAAGGTGTATCTGGCTTTTCGAAATAAACTTGATAAAACTTAAAAAAACCACCTCTTTATTAGCCTTTACCTGTCCAACCTCGAATTGAAACATCAATGTCATTTTTAAATTTGGAAGCTTAAAAACACCTTCTTGCTTGTGCATCATCTTGAGCCAGTCTGAAAGTAACTTTGTAGAAATATTAAATGGTAAGTTTCCAATAAGGTGGACAGATTCTATCTCTATTATTTTTATTGTAAAAAAAAAGAACGCTTAAAACTATACATTTCTTTAGAATTAAAATATTATTATTTACCTTTATCTTTCACTACCTCTAAAATTTTATTATGATCAATCGTTAAAATATCGTCATATATTGGGGTAAATCTGTTGTTAGATGCATCTTCCAATTGCTATTTAACAAAATAAACAAAAAGTTTAAAATTATAAAAATAAAAAAAGCTTTGCGGAAAAATAAATACTTGTAAAAGTGGCTGGAAGCGTTTATCGTTTTCAACAGAAACTAGATTTTCTGCACCAATCTCTAATATTGAGCGAGATAAAAGACCTGGGCCT